GGGAAACTAAACAGCCACTGGCCAAAAGGATGGCCCAGCACAGAAGATCAACATCATCAGGCCAGGACTCTGCGGTCTACAGTCATCTCCAGGCCAGCGGTCACTCTTTCAGGGATGAAGATGTTCACATCCTGGACAGAGAGGAACGATGGTTTGAGAGAGGAGTAAAGGAGGCCATCTTTGTGAAAAGAAATTGTCCATCATTAAACAGGGTGGAGGCCTCCGGGTTCAAGTGTCTCCCTCTTATAATGCTGTGATTGCTAGTATCACTCAGCCCTCTGTGAATAGTAAACAGCCATCAGTGTGCTAATGATCCATTGTTAGGCTGATGGTCCTCCTTGAGCATGTGATCAGCTGGTTTTGGTTGTCAGCAGCAAACTGGTTGATCCACTCTGAGAAGGTGCTATTTAAGAGACTGGGCTGAATACAGCACCTCAGACTGAGGAAGTCTTTCAGATGAGAGACGAAACGTTTCTACATTTTTTGCTTTGTTTTTTGTTTTTTTTTGAATGTCCAGAGGACCAGATTGAACTTTTTTGGATTTTTCTACCTGGATTATTGAGCATGCATCAGGATACTAGACAGAGTGTTGCATAATATTTTCATCACCTCAGATCTAATTTTAAGGTCACAAATCAAGGTCAGACATTATTACAAGGTCTTTACTTGTCTGGGCCATTGTTATAGATTACTGTACAATTGTTTGTCGAATGCCTTTAATGTGCTGTATGCAGTACTCTTGTTACTTGTTTATTATGGAATAGAGCAACACATCTGGATTCTCAGTCTTTGAGCAATGATGCCGACATTTTTGGGAGCGTTGCTCAACTTTAGGTGGTCAACTCAACTCCTTCAGTGTTTGCTTTAAAAAATTAGATAAAAAGAAGCCAGTTTTTCTTAGAAAATGTTTATGCGCACAAAATTTATAGTTTGTCAGACAAGTAATTATTTAGTGTCACTGCCAATCAACCATCACTGTTGTAGCAAATTTACCATGAATATTTATTGAAGTTCGTCAGATTTGATGAATGTCGCCACCTAGTGGCCTGATATGGAATCATCTATTGAGTTCTATATTGGTTTTAAGGTTATGAGTGGAAGTAACTGAAATAAATATATTACAGTAGTTCCTAGATACTTTGCGGTTTGCTTTTCACGGACTCACTCTTTTGAGCTTTTTCAAAGTAAGATTGGACATGACACACAGTTGGCTGATTGATGGATGAGCCGGGCGATCGGCATGAAATTTTCATGTAAAATTAATTATTTAAAATTATTTAGCACCTGCTGCACCTGTGTGCAGCCCATAGCTGCAGGAGAAGCTTCCTCTTTTATTTCCGCTCTGCAGTGGAGAAGTGGGCGTGGCCGAGAGCGCTGGCAGGTGGCAGCGCTCTTTTAGAGCATTTAGAGTTTAGAAACATTGTTTGGAATACTGCAAGTGTGGGAAGGTTTTAAAACGCCTTATATATATACATATATATATATATATATATATACACATGCATACATACTAAAATAAAATAAACTTCTACCTACTACTTGTACTACTATTCGGTTTTTCATTTATCGGAAGCCCCACAATAAACGAGGGACTATTGTATTATTTTTAACATGCTAACTAACAAAATGGCTGCAATGGCGCTATACATTTCTCTGTTTTCTGAACCAAATAAAAATATCAGTTTGCCTTTTTTTCACCATGCAAAATGTGATACAGAGCTTTGTGGGCACAACTATGCTGTTATTTGCAGTTTTACTTTGTCTGTTTTTACCCAAAAGGTGGTGTAGTCAATTAAAGGAATTACAAGTATTGTGCTCTAATTCTTTGATAATTTAGCTTTGCAATAAAATAGTAAAGCCACTAAATGGGTTGCTCTCTGCAGGTGTTTATGGAGGAAATGAACAAAAAGTTTCCAGAAATTCAACATGCCACAAAATCCTGCAAACACAAGAGCTCTCCCAAACAAGTTTCCCCCAGCAAGCGGCCACTCACAAGTAAGAAGACCACAGTTTACTACAAAAAAAAAAATTAGAACAAACTTTAAAGTCAGTGGTGATTCAATGACTACCAGTTATTATATTATCAAATCTAATACTTAACTCTCGTATGCTTGATTTTCCACGCAGAGAGGAGAAGCACGATGAAGCTGCCGCCTGTTGTACCCGTCCCCCTGGAGCACCTTGACCCCCAGACTCCCCCGCTCACTCAGCTGGTCAGTCAGTGGCAGAAACTTTGGCACCTGGCTGTGGCGAGACAGAATCGCTTGGCACAACACCAACAAATGCTCAGAGAGGTGACTATGGATTTCCAGAATATCTTTACAATTGTGACAAAGCTTGAAGAGCAATGCAGTATACTCCTGGAGTTAGTTTTGTGATGTATTTATTTATTTTCAGATGGAGCAATTTGCCAACTTTGACTTCAATGTTTGGCGAAAGCGTTACATGCAGTGGATCAGTCATATGAAGTCTCGGATCTTAGACGTGTTCCGGACTATTGACCGAGACCAGGATGGACGGATCAGCCAGAAAGAGTTCATTGATTATGTTCTTGCTTCTAGTAAGACTCCATGTTGGTGGTCGCAAGTTTAAATAACTGTTCTCTGTTCAAATCTGTGAAGTTATAGTCTTTTTTTCATCCAACTCCTCAATTGTAGAATTTCCAACAAACTCCCTGGAGATGAATGCAGTGGCAAACATTTTCGACACAAACAACGACGGCTTCATTGACTACTATGAGTTTATAAGTGCTCTGCATCCTAGCAGGGACCCCTACAGGAAAACACTGGATGCAGATCAGATCAATGAAGAGGTAGGAGCAGAGTTTGCACTGTCACTTAGAAAAGTGGGGTGTTTATTGTCACAAGAGGCTGGTGCTGGTGAACCCAATGGAGCAGGCAGGCAGGTAAGAACTCAGGATGTACAGGTATATGAAAAATAAGAGATTTATTAACAAAACAAAGAGCTGATAGGGCAGCAAATCAAACATATACTGTAATGATGGGGGGGCTCACAATAAAGACGGGTCATCACCAGTGAACAGTAGACAATGCCAGGACAAAGACTAACACAGAGACACATACTTATATACAGGAAACACCAATTAGACCAAGTGAAAGCACCTGTGAGTAATCGCAGACGCCAGAGAAAGAGACAGAGGATGCAAGACATAAACACAACATAAGATGGGGCTAGATACTAAAGAAACACAAACCCTATGAAGAGAAACAGAGGATCAGGGGGAACTCAGACAAACATGACACCCGGTACAAAACCACAACTCCTACATTTATTGCCTTTCATTATTGTGTTTCTTTTTTTACATGTAGGTGAGTCGACAGGTGTCACTTTGTAACTGTCCCAAAAAATTCCAAGTGGAGCAAATAAGTGCCAACAGATACAGGGTGAGCCTTTGTTAATGATATGTTTTAATCTTCACATATACTGGTTTTCCTTCCTTTGTGATATAAGCATGAAAGAAATCCTGCACAAAAAAATGTGGCGTTTAAAGCAATGACTGCTTCAGAACAATAAAAGTGTCACCTCTATTCCTATTCCAACATCAACTTGTGTTTTCTTCTTTGTTGGTTTGCTGAAGTTTGGAGATTCCCAACAGCTGCGGATGGTTCGAATCCTGCGGAGCACATTGATGGTCAGGGTGGGAGGAGGCTGGACTGCTCTTGATGAATTCCTGGTAAAGAATGACCCCTGCAGAGGTCGGTAACAGTTATTTTATTAATTTTTTTAACAAATCAAGACACTTTTTTTCTAAACCATACTCTTGGAAAATATATATGTATTTTTGCTTCTGCAATTTTTTGACTAGTCTGTGTTGTACCTTCTTCAAATGGTTTCCTCACTTTTTTTGAATACAGATAAACTGATTTTACATTAGCTAAGTATCAGTTGTGGCCATTTTAAGGGTTTTGTCACCGCCATATGCTTAAATGTAAACTGACCACCCTGCTCATTTGAGGAAATTATGGTTTCTAGTTTTTATATTGCTTAGCAGTATTGTTTCCTAAAATGATTTTAACTGGGGTGGCCAAATGTTAATCTATGGAGGTCAAGACCACCATTGACCACCCCCTGGCTCTGCCATTGTGCTTGGTGGTGGATAAAATATCTCCCTTTGCTTGCCAGGATCCATCACTGTACTCTGGCTCAGGCAAGCAAACACCAGCAACACCAACAACAAAAATCCATCTCTATATTTGTAGATCTTGTAACTCATACTCACTTGAATATCTTGCACCAAAAGCATTAAGGTTTACTTGTGTTCCCAGGTCAATACCAGTCCAAAAAAACAGTCATCTCAAAAACTACAAATATTTTACCATTCACATCCCTTTGTGACCTGGGACATTAGCACTGATAATTATTTTGAGACTGCATCATCCATAAGTTGTGGGAGGTTTAATGGCCTTCATGGCAGATCTGAACTTGTCTTATACTCAGTAATTAAGATTTAATTTACTTAAAACTTTTGAGAAAATGAAAGTATAATAATAACAATAAACAAATGTGTAATTATATATAAGAAGTGATATTTGGTCATTTTTTGTTTTTAGTTGACACCTTTTGATGATCTTTGAAATGGCAGATAAATGACAAGTTTCACTGTATTTTGTCTCATTGTGTCATCAACAGTGAAAGGTCGGACCAACCTGAAGATCAAAGAGAAATACTTGTCACCAGCAGGAAGCACCACTAAGGGTTTGGCTGTCAGCAGGTCCAACTCGAGCCTCAGTTTGTACAGCAGCGCTTCTGCACCCACCAGCCCCATGACCCGCAAGGTCAAGCACTGATGTGCACAGATCTCAGTTTGCTTTAGAAGACTGATTGGTTTCTAAATCTTTCAGACTGTTCAGATTTTGACTTGTGTAATGTTTCTGGATTCAGGCATTACTTCGCAGGAGCTTCTCAGGTGACCGGTGCATCCGTCCCAGGAGCTCCATAGCAGCTCTGGGGTCTGAGCTTCAGTTTGTCCCAACAGGGGAAGACAGCACTCCTTCGCCTTCAGGTCAGAAAAACATGCTTTGATCTGCATCCTGCTGCATTAATCTGTTTGTTCAATGAAGTGTTGACTCCGCTCCTGTTTTCAGATGAAGCTGACAGGCTGCCCACATGATTACAGCTGCCTCTGAGCATCCTGTTGAAGCCGCAGCGCTCAGCCCAAACACAGCCTTGGAGCAGCAAAACACGGAGATAATCAGAAGCAAAGTAAGGAAGGGTCCAAGACAACAGTACAGTGCGTCACATGTGCCTGACTGAACCTGGAGGAAAAGTACTGCACTGAGTCTGCATGAAGATAATATATTTATGTGGAAAAAGAAGGGCTCATTTCTGCTTTACAAAAGCCTTTTTCTCTACTTGCATATCAATAATTTACCTGATTGTGTGTAAAGTTGGACGTTCTGCATGATGCTTAATTGCATGGCATCAGAGCAGCTTTTCAGCTTGCTGTGCTTTTCTGGCTGTGAAACTAAGCAGAGACAGGCAGCAGTAGACCCAAACACATACAGCTAGAACTCACATAGATAGCATGTGAAGGCGTCGTGCTGTCTGACTGTCCTGAGGGTCCAAATAAAGAACCATCACATACCAAAACCATGATCCGCTACAGTCTGCTGTTCTTAAGATTGTTTTGATTTTACAGAAAAACTGTGGTTGGCAGGCCCACATTGTTTCTGTCATTTAACCTTTTTTGACATGTTTTCTTTTTTTATATTTGGACATTTTTTTTATATTTACTTAAAAATGTTTTAAACACTGGAGATTATGGATGGAGCACTGCACTAAAATATGAGCAAACGCTATTGATTTGTAGAGATTAATTTCTCAGGACTCGCTGTATTTCTGTGGAACATGTAGATGTGTTGTTTTTTTACTTCCTAGATTACGTTTTTGTTTGATCAAACTTCTCATACATTTGCACTTTTCTGTCTGTGACTACTGTACATATGTTGTTTTGTTTAGGAGAAAACCTGAGAGTTGGCGTGAATGCAGTGAAGTTGAAAACAAACTGTAAATTAAGCTTGTTTTTTTTTTTTTTAATTGATGAGTATGAATTTAAGATGATGGTCTTTTTATGTATTCAATTTTCTTAACAGAGTCGATAGTTTTAATGTTTTACTGTTCAGAAACTTTAAAATTATTTCTACCGTAGTCCATTATCTGAGTGTAAAATGTGTTCATGAAATGAAACTATGCTTCTCCGAATGATTTATGATCCTGGGAAAAGACAAATGTGCATTATCTGAGCAGAAGCAGTGATTTACCAGTGCATTTTTCTTTTGCTTCTCCCCTTTATCAACTGCGCAGGCTGTCCAGTATTCTGCTTTATCTGTTTTATACTGTTATTTCATTAGAGATCAATTGAAACTAAAGTCTGTGTTAGGGCAGGATTTGTTCTATGCATTTGTCAAAGGGATCTTTTTAAAGCTGAAACATTTTTACATGAAGTACATTTCCCCCAGCTTTGAGAACGATGAAATGTTTTATAGAAATATGAAAGCCAGATTTGACTCTTGTTGCTATGCAGTCTAAACTTTAAGTACTGTAAACGCTTCCTGCTCACGTTCTGATGTCAAACTTAGTAAAAATTGTATAATGACTTGTATAAATGTTTTTGTAATAAAATCACGCATTTTGTGATGAGTTTTCTCAAATCCTTGTGCTGATTTTTGCTGTAGCAGTCACAATTATCCATCCATCCATTATCTTTACCCACTTCTTCCTTTTTTGGGTCATGGGGGTCACTGGTGCCCTTATCCAGCAGTCACTCTGCGAGAGGTGTGGGACACCTTGGACAGGTCTCCAGTCCATCACAGGGACAAACAAGACAACCATTCACTCTCTCACTCACACCTAGGGACAATTTATAGTTACCAATCAGTCTAACATGCATGTTTTAGTCCGTGGTAGAAAACCAGAGTACCCTGAGAAAAGCCACGCATACATGGAGAGATCATACAAACTCCACCCAGAAAGGTCTTGGGCCGGGAGTTGTACCGGCAATCTTCTCACTGAGAGGTGGAAGCTCTACCAACTGAGCCACCGGACAGTGGACGCTGTAATTCTCAAATAGAAGTTTGGCTTTTCTGGTTTCCCAGATCACATTGAGTAATCCAGAGAGAAGCCAAAGTGAGAGGAAACCAATAGCCTGATTGTCACTCTGAGCTTCATAGACCTTTGATGGGACAAAATTCTAGAAGAATAACTAGAACTGATCTGAACTTTATGACAGAGTGGCTCCATGGAAGCTTAGTAGCTGCCTAAGACCCTCAGACTGCCAGAAAGATTCTTTGGTCATATGAAACCAAAATTTAACTGTTTAGCCTCATCACTAAACTTTATTTATGCCTAAAGGAAACCAGGCACCACCCAAAATTAGTTCAGCAGTGAAGCATGGAGGTGGCAGCATCAAGCTGTGGGATGTGTTTCAGTAGCAGGGTTTGGAAAAATGATCAGAGTTGAGTCAAAGCGTTGTGGTGCAAGTTACAGAGATATTGTCAATGAAAACATCTTCCACAATACCCAGGACCTCAGTAAATTGAAATAAATTTACAAACTTGTTTAACAGTATTAAGCTATAATTTTGTCTTATATAGGTGCATCAGGGGCAGCACGGTGGCACAACTGGTAGAGCTGCTGCCTCTCAGCGAGCAGGTTACCTCGTTTCAAATCTCGGTCCAGGGGCCTTTCTGGGTGGAGTTTGTATGTTCTTTTCGTGCTTGCGTGGGTTTTCTCTGGGCACTCTGGTTTCCTCCCACAGACAAAAAACATACATGCTAGACTGAATGGTAATTCTAACTTGTCCCTAGGTGTGAGTGAGAGAGTGAATGGTTGTTTGTCTCGTTAAACTCTATGTGTCCCTGTGATGGACTGGAGACCTGTCCACTCTCCACTGCAAACGAGTGACCATATGCAATCCACGCAGGCCCATACGTTCTCTCCAGAGTGGAGGCTTTGCTACAGTAGATCAAAAATTATTACACGAAACATCCAGTAAAGAGGTATTAAAACGGGATCACATTGAGAATGAGTATGAGTGCCCCTCGCAAAGTGATTGCTGGACATGGGTACCAGCGACCCCCATGACCCAAAATGGAAGAAGTGGGTAAAAGATAATGGATGGATGGATGGACAGGTGCATCAGGTTACAATAAAACAAAAACTGCTAAAAGCTTAGAGGGTGTAAATACTATCTAAAATTACTGTATGTCTTATGTTGGTTATTGTGGGATGTGCACTGTCTAACTAATAAAGCTCCAGATCCTAGAGGAACAGTGGGTCAGCAGTAACTGTAGCAACAGGTTGAGGCTAAAGGTCAGGTGTTCATTGCATCATATTTCAGATATTTTCCAGTTTTGTATTCCCAATGGAAAACATTTCATCTGTGGATCCTCAGCCCAGGCTGCTCTCCTGTTGATGTGTATCAAGTGAGACTTTCAGATATGTCCAGAACAAAAAGTGTTGAAAACACACATTTATTTATTTTAACACAGAGCCCAGCAGCTGTAAGAAAGACATTGACTCAGTGTTGCAGCAGTGATGCAGATTTCCCTCAACACAGCTCTAAAGCTGTGTTTGGCCATTGGTGTCTTCAGTTTGCAATATAAAGACATGTTAAAAATTACAAGAATATGGTATGGTATGGTATAAAGTTTATTCATTTTAAAAAAGTACAAAACAATTCCATAACAATATAAAAAAAAGATACAAAAGATTTAAAATGAAAGGCAGCAGAAAGAAGAAACAATCTTATTATATCTGCCCCTTTTTTTCAAACAATTATTTCAATCATAATAATTTTCAAGTAATTTCAAGTAATCAAGTAATTAGTAATTTAAATTCAAGTAAGTAATTTCCTAAAGATTTTGGATGTTGCGGTGGGAGTGTCTTGGTTGACACGCCTGGGGTCCATTGCTACAGGCTGTTATTTCCTATACAAAAGGTGCAAGAGTTTGTTTGACATTGCCGGCAGTAAGTCAGACCCCTTCAGGATAGGAGTTGGGCTCTTCCAGGGCTTCCTGTTGTCATAAATTCTGTTCATAACTTTTGTACACAGAAATACTCAGTGCAGCCACGGGGCGGAGGGAATCCGGTTCGGTGGCCTCAGAGTTCCATCTCTGCTCTTTGCAGATGATGTGGTCCTGTTGGCGTCATTATGTCGTGATCTTCAGCTCTCACTGGAGCAGTTCACAGTCAAGTATGAAACTGCTGGGATGTGAATCAGCACCTCCAAATCTGAGGCTATGGTCCTCAGTTGGAAAAGGGTGGATTGCTCTCTTCAGGTCAAGAGTGAGGTTCTGCTTCAAGTGGAGGAGTTGAAGAACAGTATCTAGGGGTTTTGTTCATGAGTGAGGGAAGAGTGGAGCATGAGATTTACAGACGGATTGGTACAGCATCTGCAGTATTGTCGGGTCTGTACCGGTTCATTGTGGTGAAGAGAGAGCTGAGGTGTAAGGCAAAGCTCTCTGTATACCGGTCAATCTATGTACATTCCTCCCCTCATATGGCTACGAACTCTATGTAGTGACCAAAAATCAGGATCACGGAAACATGCGGTAGAAATGAGTTTCCTCCACAGGGTAGCTGGACTCTCTCTTAGAGATAGGGTGAGAAGTTCATCTAAAAAATATAAGTCAGGTCCTCTGGACGGATTGTTCTT